CATTTTAGTAGCCCTCCTCTGGCCCCGCTCCAACAGGTCCATGTCCTCCTTGTGCTGAGGGCTCCCGAGCTGGACGCAGGGCTCCAGGGGAGGTCTCCCCAGAGCAGAGCAGAGGGGCAGAATCCCCTCCCTCGACGCTGGCCACGCTTCTCCTGATGCAGCCCAGGGTAGGGTTGGCTTCTGGGCTGCACGGAACACATGCATAACTGCACACCTTTCCGTGATCCTGTGGGAGCTCTGAAGCAGGTTAAAGCCCAAACAGGTCTCGTTCCACTCCGGTCTAAAGCACACAGCCTTGCCTACACCCCAAGGGGGTGCAGAACTGCTGACATGCTGGTTAAAAAGGGACTTTTGCCTAGAAAAGGGTGACCCTCGCAAAGCTGGCAAGTATGGGTGAAGGTAGGCACCCCCTGCTTCCCCTGGGGCAGAGAACGGGACGGAGCAACCCCCAATCCCTAATTCTGCTCCCTGGTTTGAGCTCCTATCCCTGCCACGCTCTTGCCAATGCAGCGCAGCCAGGAGTCGCCCTGCACGCTGCAAAAGCTGCACCGTAAAACCGCCGGGTGAGAGAAACTAAAAACCCCGGGGATCTGCTGGAGTACTGCAGTGCCCAGGGGCAGGGAGCAGCTCATTTTAGCAACGCTCATTCTGATTAGGAAAAAAGAAAAAAAAAAGAAAAACCTCATGCCCATCCCTGCTCAATGGAGCATCGCTCAGCAGCCCTGCATGTGGGGAGCGCTCCCTGGCAGCAGGATGGGGCTGAGCTGAGGCAGCAGGTGCTCAGCAAGGCAGGCGGTGCTGGTGCAGGGTCAGTCCCAGGGGACAGGTTCATCCCGTTTAGGTAGCTACAGCCGTCGGGGAGTGGTGAGTGCCCCTGTGATTTTGGTATCCAGGAGAACTGGAGGGGAAGTTCAGCAATGACTACTGAGAAGGGAAGAAAGCACCGGAGCTGGGGAGGGGTCTGGAGCCCCAGGCTGCTGGGGAGCATCTGGGGGAGCTGGGGGTGTTCAGCCTGGAGAAGAGGAGGCTGAGGGGAGCCC